ATTATTATTATTATTATTATTATTATTATTATTATTATTATTATTATTATTATATGGCAAGGTAGTTTTGAAGTGACTCCGACTATTCTGATTGGTTCTTACTTGGTCGGGATTTTGCTGATATGGAAACAGTCATAAGCAGTGTATTTTTCTGAATTTTTTTCAGGTTTTAATTTCACAACTGCTAAAGTTGTGTGCACAACTTCGATGACCAATCCACTCTTCATATCTTTCTCTGCAGTTCAAAATGATCTTTCATATATTCACTTGAAGTGTATTTTTTGTTTTCAAAAGCATGGCCCAAGTGCCATACAATAAATGATTTACTAACCTAGTTTTCTTGAGCCATAGAGGAATATATTAATTTTGCACTCAGTTGTTTTTGTACTCGACCTCACTGCACTACGTTCAGTGAGAGATTAGTACCTTTAGAGGCTGTGGCTTAAGTCAGTGACGTATCAAATGAAAACTTAAAAATTAAAAACAAATATGAAAAATCAATGTGATCAGGTACCTGAACTGATGAATCAATGCAACAACATGTAGCAGCCTCCTGATAAGTGACTGAGGCCTCATTATCTACTGACTAGTTGCAACCGATATTTTCCTCCATAGGTCTGATTCTAGGCTCATTTTTCTATGGTTACATTATCACACAAGTACCAGGAGGATGGTTGGCGGCACGGGTTGGGGCAAAGTATTTATTTGGTTTTGGAGTTCTTTGTACATCAGTATTGACAATGTTTACGCCTGCTGCGGCACATCACAGTGTTGGCATGTTACTCCTGGTCAGAATACTGGAGGGGCTCGGAGAGGTCAGTTTTTTATGTGAATTTGATCCGTCTGTTTGTCTGGACAAGTACCTTTTCAGACAAGTAACTTTTCATTCTCACTTGCCCAGTAGGCAAGGGATCAAGCCAGTCACCAGTCAACTAAATCATTAAAAAAACACACTAACACTTGCCCAGGGCAAGCAAAATTTTGAGAGCTACTTGTTCTACAGGCAAGCTGGATTTTAATTTTTGTATTGAGCCCTGTAACATTGGAAAATCCTGGACAGTCATGAATGAAATTTGTTTTTTCCTCAAAAATAGCAAAATCCCTGATCTCTAAGATTTTCCTGTCTGATTTTCCTGAGGTTTAGCAGACTGTAAACAGTATATGTAATTTACAAACTTTCAACCCCAAAGTACAACACAATTGGCACTGATTTGTTTTACTGAGGGAGAAATGTAAATTAAAATGTTTTTAAAACGGCATGGATGAAATCTCAAACCAGGATTCCTTCTGGTTTGAAGTATTATCTGTTTATTGCGTTTCTTCTGCTGCATTTTGGCTTAAGTAAAATGATTTATTTGTGATTTTCTGTGGACATACAGTTCACTTTACTGCCTGTCAAACTCCAAAGATTTGACGATGAATCATGGAACACTCAATATGCCCCTACGTGTAGACAATGATTTCTTCTGATATGGTCATGTCTAGATGGAAAATTTCAGAGACAGGGGATTTTGTTTTTTCCAAGGATTTCAGTGCAATCTATCTGGAAAACTTTGTAGATCATAATATCATTAATACCATCCATGTGGTTGACTGTAGGGTGTCACATTTCCTGCCATGCATGCCATGTGGAGTAGCTGGGCTCCACCTTTAGAGAGAAGCAAGCTTTGTACATTGTCATATGCAGGTAGTGTATACACCACAACTTTGCTTGTCAATTCATTCACATTTTGGATGCTGTTAGCTAGAGCCAAGTTTCTGAGTGGAGGTACTGTGGTCTTGTGGTTAGTGCATTCATCTCTGGATCAAGTGGTCCGGGCTTTTCGTGGAGCAGTACATACACATTTAATATGACTATGTCTTTTGTTTGCTCTCTCAAAGGGCTTCAAATTGGCACAGTTCTTGGCTTGCCAATAGCTGGAGTACTGAGTGCATCTGACCTCTGGGGAGGGTGGCCATCAGTATTCTACATTTTTGGTAAGTCCATTAACAAGGCTTTTTTTCCATTGCAACTATGACTAAGTCTATTTCAAACTGTTTATTGGATTTTTTAAAGTTATTATACATAATGAACATGCAATTTAATTTTGTTTTTGATTGACAGGTGCTGTGGGCATTGTATGGTTTATTATTTGGATGATGTTCACTTATGATAAACCAGCAAATCACCCAAGAATATCTCTCAAGGAAAAAGAGTACATTTTGTCAAGTATAGGATCTGCACAGGACAAAAAGACAAGAGTAGGACAACTTTTTTTATGGTTCTATGAAGTTTCACTGTCTTGAATTAGCTAAAAACTATCATTTGTGTTTAATTTAATTTATAGGTAAAAAAAGATAAAACAACTTTATTTGAATGTGCACAGTCGTGTTTGAAACTGTAAGCTTGTGGGGCAGTGTATTGATAAAACTCATCAGCAATAGATGAGTGTGGGCCATGTTTTGCCCAGTGAATCTGCACTAAATGTACAGACTTACTGAGTGACTGTCTGCGATCAAGTGATATAGATTGGACATGGCTGGATTTATTCACATTTAATGTAGGTTTTTTTAATTATTTATTTAATGTTTCTGACGTCATTCCTGGAATGTTGCTCTGTAAGGCTCTAATACTTCTTGACCTTTCTGATTTGATTTCAGAAATATGCCACTCCGTGGTTTGAGATTTGGACATCACCTGCTGTGTGGGCCATTATCATAGCTCACTTTTGTAACAACTGGGGTTTCTACACATTTCTCACTTGCTTACCATCTTATTTTAAAGAAGTTCTTAATTTTCCAATATCCGAGGTAAGTATGTTTAAGGATTTTGTTACATTTTGTTATTTAAGTACACAGAAAAGCACAAGATGAGGTGCCTTTCACAAGTGTTCTTAAGTCGTGAGTGCCACTCAACAATGTGCAAGGAGCAAAATTTCCTACTCCTTTACGAATTGTCCAAGAAATGTCACATTTTCAAACTGATGATGTAAGTCAAGCACTTTGTTACCCATTAATGAGAAATGAGTATGAAATGTACGTTTTTGTTCACTTTTTTGGCCTTGATGTGTACAAAGTATTATTAATTGTTGTTTACTTTGGACTGAGGAACTGACCAATAGAAGTGTTTCGATTTCATAGTTCATGCATAACTAATGTATAAGTGCAAAACAAAAGATTGTTCACAGTTGTGGACCTTCCAACATAAATCTTAGCATCTTTACTGGCTCCTTTGATGTTTATCGTGCTTCATAACCATTCCCCTTAAACAACTATGGCTAGTATTATAGCACATGTAAAACAAAAGGGAAATATTTGTAAACATGGTTAGGGAAAAGACTGAAGTCAACCCACACCATTGGAGTATGGGTCTTCCCAACCTCAATCCAAGGCTCTCTCTTTTTTTGCCTCCATTACGACATGGGATGCAAGGGAGAGAGAGTCTGGGATCGAGGTTGGGGTTTGATAGGCAACATATGACTGTCAATTCCTGCGTGCCAAGCAAAATATGTTACCTTTGTGCTTCAGAATGGTTTTTTGTCAGCCATTCCATTTTTACTATCGTACATAATTGGTGTTGGCGGTGGCCAAGTGGCAGACAGGTTGCGTTACAGTCACATATTAACAACAGGAGAAGTTAGGAAAGTCTTTGCCACAGCGGGTGAGTTCAAATGTCCTTTCATTTCTTCACATAATGGAAGTCACAGAGGGTGGTGCGGGGGGGAGGACACTATAAAGCAGCAACAGTGTGTCAGAACTTAGTGTTTGAGAGGATCACAAATTTCTGTGGTATTTTTGATGGAATGTAATATTCTGAAAAGTAGACTTAGCTGCAATGGATATCTTGGTCAAATTCACTGTTTGTACACTTTATTGGATGGTTGGCTTTTAATATATGTGGATATTTTGGCAGTTGTGAGCACAGAAAGGGTGGCCTGGGTTTGATTCCGTCCCAGTGCCATATGTGGGTTGAGTTTGTTGTTGGTTCTTGCCTTGTTCTGAACATTTTTCTCCAGGTTGCCTGCTTTTCCTCCCTCATGAAAAACCAACGTTTTCAAATTCCAATTCGAGGAAGGATAGAGGACCTGCATGAAAACCAGCTAAGGCTGATGTGGCTTCGTCTCTAAATACAATTATAATTTAACAGATTGACATCAGTTTTTCATGCGTCTGTCCTGTTATTGATCATGAATTTCGTCATAACACTGTCAAAGTAGCTGTGGATCTACTGTACTTTGACAATGTTATGACGAAATTCATCGTCAATAACAGGACAGACAGTATTAAAAACTGACATCAATTTGTTTTTTACAAATTGTCCGCTCTTACTTGTTGACGCATTGCATAAATTTTAAATTCATGTGTCTGTCCACTTAATGACAATGAAAATTAGCTAATGAGCACACAAGAATTTCTGCAGTTATCGTAAAGTTACAACGTATTTATCTAGCCGACAGTCATGCATTTGCACGAAAATCTGATATAAAAAGTCCTGTTATTTTCCATGTTATAACTTACATATCTCATTTTTTAGGATACCTTATCCCTGCCTGTCTCATGGTAGCAACAAGTTATGTTGGCTGCGACAACACGACACTAGCTGTTGTTTTGTTTTCACTGGCCCTGGGCATCACAGCTCTTAATATGTCTTCGTATAATGTCAATCATTTGGATATCGCTCCTAGATATGCAGGGGTTCTTATGGGGATCACCAATTCCGCTGCGACAATCCCAGGGATGGTTGGCCCGTATGTAGTGGGATATCTAACAGACAATGAGGTAATGTGTACGTCACTTCTTGTTTTCAATGTTTCATTTATTATTATTATTATTATTATTATTATTATTATTTGATTATTTATTCCCTGCCAATCAAAACCTTGAAGGCGCTACGTCAGAGTTTTAAGCAATAGAGCACTTTTTCCGTGTTTACACAGTCTCATCTAAACACGAGGAGGGTTGGGAGAATTCGAGACAGTTATGCAAACCCGAGACTTGGTCGAGGGTTTGCATAACTTTCGAGAATTCTCCCAGCCACCCGAGTAAATATGGAAAAAGTGCTCTATTGCTTTTGTAAAATAATTCTCAAAAATACGCGCGAATCTAAAACGTCCCAACCGTGTTTACGTACTCTCATCTTGACACACTTATCGACCAATGAGAGCACGCGCAGAGGCTCAGTTATTTTATAACATGCATTTGATAAGTTAAGCCTAAGTTTTTCAAGTTTGTTGTTTGCAATCTGTGTTAATCTTCTCCATCCTTAACCATCCTTGTTCCTTTATGGTTTGCTATTATCTCTTTGGTATTTTTCTAACTTAGTAAACTACTATTTTCAGGTTTCCTTTAATTTAAAGGTAATTTTGTTCACGGCCAAAATAAATTTTGTGACTCAGCTCCTTTAATATTATCCGACCTTGTGAGAAGTATTGAGGATACTTATTAACTGGGAGGTAACGTCTTCTAGCTAAGAGGGATTTTAACTGAAGGGTTACCAGTCCCTATTTGACGGACTCAAAAGCAAGAAAGGTTAAATTAATCTCTCTTTAAAGAATGGTTTCAGCAGAAAAAATATAATAACGTAGAGAACGCTTCGCTTTACACGAGACGCAGGGGAATGAAATCGTTTTTACAGAAAAATTTAAAAGCTGCAACAACAAACAGTCGTGACAAATGCGTACTATACCGGAAACAAAATTGGACTCTATTTTTGAAATCCTACGTAAGCATATGTAAATTGATATCATACACAATATTTAGTGGACTTAGTGCTAATAGAGTCTAAAGACAACTGTACATAAGTGTTTTTAAAACAATATTACATAGTTTTAGAGACGTTGATGTTGTCCAGCAAGAGTTAACTTAGTTTGTAATCTTCTGTCTCGTCGCCATCTTGCGTTTGAGAAAGGAGTTTAATAGTCGATCCCATTCAGACGGAAACGTTCTAACACCAGATTCCACGAGATAAACACTGCAATTTTTGAAGTGTTTTCATCAAGTACATGTTCGCGTTTATATAAAAAAAATAATAGCCATTGGGGATGAATGAAAGTTTCCCGGCAGAGCTCGCTTGTGTTTCTTTTTGTAGGACAACTCCTGATGTGCACATGAAGCGGGTCCTAGAAGAGAGCTGGTCAGAAAAGATTCTAATGACTTGCTCTGCTTGAAATGTCTGAAGCCTATTGTGGACTTAACGCTATAACGTTGTTATTGCCTTTTGTATTCAACGCTGCTTTTGATACTTTAAACTCCAGGTAATAAGCCGTGGGTTGAAATGGACCTCAAAAAGGTTCTAAGAAAAGCTTATCGGTTAATCTTTTGTACGTGATTTCCTTATTAATGTGAGGTAAATTTATCCTGACAAAGGAAGGAATGGAAATGTGATGGGAAGATGGAGGCTGTTAATTGCGTTAGCTGAAAGCAGATATTAGAGTTTACAAACGTTAAAATTTAGGGCTTTAGAGCAGAGTTCCATTTGTTTTGCGTCAAATTTCGCGCAATAACTAATATGGTATTCTAAGCTACGAACATTAACTGGGGGCCAGAGAGAGAGAGAGAGAGAGAGAGAGAGAGAGAGATTGATTTTTCTGGCAAAATATCTTGCGTGAACTCTTTCTCCAAAGCAGCTATTAATCATGAAAAGAAAACAAAGCTTTTGAAAATTAATCTTGAGTCTTATACGCCCCTGTTGTCTGCTGTTCGGAGTTCATATTTCATGTAAGTGCACGGTATTCGTATAGTAAGACACTCACTGAATTTCCTATTCTTTAACTCTAACAAAAGTATAAAGCTAACATAAGTTAAGTTTAAACATCCAGGTGATAAAGAAATTCATTTTGGATGGGGTGGAGTAAAAAGAGGGAAGCCCACCAAGAGTTGGGCGGAAAGCCTGCGAAAGGCAGAGAAGAGGGGCTGCGGATATTGCCAATGTCAGGGAGGTATGCGAATTGTGTTTTCAGCTCTTCAAACCTGAATCTAGACAGTAACGGAAAGTTATAATCAAAATTACTCAGTACAGAATCTATTCCAGAGATTTAATAAAATAACTCTAAAAAGGTAGTTTATTAGGGATAAGATAAAATCTAAGACTAATAATAAATATCACTAGGTCCGCTCAGGAACACGCGGTTTGTCATCTAATTGGCATCTGAACATAAATATGAAAGAATGACCTTAAATCAAATGAGCCCTCGAGTTGATAACTATATAAAACGACAGTAAAAACTACATTCCAAATCCAAATAGAACGAGGTACCACTTGAGACATGTTGTAAGTGATCACAGTAAAAATACAGTACAATCAACGTTTATTTCCCAGGGCACCTTCAGTTGTCTTTTAACACACTTTGACGCTGATTACAACGTGCCTTGTACATGCGCTCGCTTTAAAAACAAATATTTTATTACAACCACAACGGGACCCAAAGAACAGCACGTCTTAAAACTCTCATAGATATCTACCTTTGTTTCTGGATAAATCAATTTGTGGCTGAATCAATTCGCCCTGTCAGTTTACCTTTTGCTAAAAATCCCCCCAAGACTTTGGTCATTTCATGTTGATGTTGTTCTCACATCTTTTTAGAGACATCCCCCCTTGGCGTTTTCAGGTTTCTTTGTAAGCTTTAAAGGTATACTTTCTCAGTACTTCCAACTTTAACTATAACAATTCCCTTAAAGATATTTAAAATGACAGCAAACCTTTTTATCGAGGTGTCAAAAATAAAAACACTACGCTCTTGGAACTCCTCTTAACGCCTGCCTCTTTGGTAAGAGTACGGTTTCGGTCGATTGCTAGTGGATGGAGGCTTGCTTCTCATCACATGATCACGTCTGTAAGATTCTTCTCGGCTTCTTCCAGGTTGAAAATCGTCAAAATCATAGCTTGCATAATTATTGTAATTATGGTAACTGTTCTCGTGATTTCGGTAATCATTACGAGAATGATTAAAGTCATCATAATGACGATAATTATCATAATTATAATAATTATTACCGGGATGATGATAATTACCAGCAGAATTGCGATAATTGCTATGACCTCTTTGCTCTCTGTTTGGGAATCTCCTTGATGTGTAGCTTCGTAACTGGGTATGGTTGTCAACCGGTAGATAACGATCTTCACTACGACAACGTGGTTTCAAGTCATGATACTCGTTTAGATGTCTGTTGTACTGGGCTGGTCTCCAGTTCATTCTCTCCTGATCTGATGCAGCATGTTTTGTGAAGAACTCCCTGCTGGTGTGAAGATATCTCGGTTTGTCATATGGAACATTTTGCTCTCTTCGCCTATTTCCACTTTGAATGCAAGACAAGTCCTCGCTATGAGAAAGCAAAAAAATGTTTGATGGAATTATTAAAGATTTTCAAGTTAGAAATGTAGCCATTTTTCAACCAGCATGGCGTGACACTCAACGTAGCGTAGTGCGACACCCAAGACAGCGTGATCTAACCCATTTCAAACTAGTGACAACTCACGTTTTCGGCGTCTTCTTCTGAAGATCTTCCAAGTAATTCTCACGTTCCATATCATGTCCTCTAGCTTGGTTGAATGCTGGAAAAGAAATTTAAGACTTGTTTCAAGCACATGAATTCAAGTGCAATTATTCCAAGCAAGCAACTCGGAAACCTTGTGTCCTTACGATCCTGCAACTCACATGCAAACAGATCGATGTTATTTTACGCAAAATTTAATTTAATTTGTTTATTTTCTCATAGAGTGGTCTTCAATAGAGTGTCGTAAAACCAAAACCACAGAAATCACTCTAGCCAATCACAAAGGAGGCAATCAATCTAGCGAATCAATCAAAACTCGAAGAAATTGCATGTAGCTGACGCGAAGCGCGGGAAAACGTCTGTGGGCGGGTCATGATTGGTTTTGGTTTTACTTCTGATTGGACAAAAAATTCGCGTGAGTTTTTTAAGGCAGTCGTGTAACATAGTAAGTGCAAAACCAATTACTTTTCAACAATTAAATGAAAACTGCTCTATTACCGGTACCTCTTTTATAACTAAATCTAATAACTATCAATTTACACTTGTTTAAATTGCCCATTATCTAGCAAGTGCAAAATCAAATCTATTACTAATATGACCATCGTAAAAGGTAAGAGGTTTTTCTCACCTTCAATGGCCCTTTCAGGCGTGTATCCTCTGCATTCTATAAGGTACCTAGCATGGAAAAGAAAATTCATTCAAGTGACTGTGTAACTGCTACTTACAAATTATGTGATAGTTACATTATCTTTCATTTTACCTGCAAACAACATAACCGGCTCTGTTCAGACCATGGGTACAATGAACACCAATAACATCATCTAAAAAGAAAGCATTGAACTTTGAAATGTGAAGACAATGAAGGACATCTGATATTGCAGAGCTTTCAACAAGATTTGAACAAGGTTGCTGCCTCATCAGAGAGGCCCATGAAATAAGCCTCTGTCAGAGGGCCAATCTTTGAAAACTGCTAAAATTATAGCTGGTGATTCACAATGGAATAAATACTTTTATTATGAATAAAGGAAAGTTTATTTAAAGCTCTGCCATTGCATTTTGTATTTTTACCTGAGGTGGGATTCTCAGCCAAAAACGAGCAGACCTCAACCTTGAACCTTGAAACAGTAAAAACAGTACCGTCCTTGTTACATATACTTTCATTAAAAAAAATGTGTCACAGACACCTCAGTACTTTGCCACAATTTTACCTAGTTTCATGGACCTAGAAGCTAACACATGAATTATTTTGAAAGACAATACATATAAGAAAGGTTACCTTGACACAACTCTCTCATCTGGTATTTCTTTCCCAACACATTTTATCTTACGATAAAGTATCCCATGGTCAACTTGGAGCTTCTAGGGGGAATAAAGCTATTTGTTATACCCTGCTGCTGTGAACATCTATTTTGATTGGACAGTGCTAATTTAATCATGACAGTAATTGCTGCATTGGTAGAATTGACAAGAGTGTTGCCACAAGCAACATTTTGCAATGATCTGTTGATGACCAGAAGCTTGAAATATCCATACTAATACGAAAATTTCTCTTTGATCTTACGTACCCTGCCATCATAATATCTGTAAGTGTTGGTAAAGTCTACCACCATTCCAAGTTTTATGTTATTCTGCCTAAAATGATTCAGTAGGTCCATTGGTGTAAACCTGAAAAAAAAAAAAATTTTACGTAACAAAGAACATCAGTAACACCTATAAATTAAGGCAGTTGGTAATTTCAAATTATTAAGTAATTTGAAATTACCATTGAATTTCAAGTTTGAAGTCGGTGAACAAAGTTAGTTACATGGTATTCATAACTTCTGAAACTTATTGATAATTCATCAAGTTTTCAAAAACAAAGGAAATCATGGCAGTGACAGTGTATCAATATCTGATCTTCACTTAGCATAGATTTTTACCGTCCCATTTCTCTGTTTTTGCCTTAGTTTAGTTCAATTGAGAAGATATTAACACCAAACAGTGTTTGACATTTCCAAACACCTCAAAGTTTGTCAAATATACAGTCTCCTCCACACATCATATTTCAACTTCACTCTTAGTGTTTGGAAATGTGGTTAAACACAGTCTTTCCTGTTTGATCTATTACTTTAAATGTCCTCCCACTATTGGCGTCCTTACATCAAGTTACATCTGGCAGACTTCAGAAGTACACTGACCTTTCATGTGGTTTTATTCCATTGTCACGGTCACTTTCATTATCATATTGCTGCAATGAACAAACATCTTTGATTCAATAAGTTTTACAAGCAGCATGAAAATTAGCGCTTTCTTAACACCTATTTTAATAGAGTATTACTTAAATGAGGAACGTGTTATCTGTCTTACCTGTGACAGTGGTGTCTTAAAGGCAATGATCCTCTCGCCTCTTATAGGAGTTCCACAAGATTTGTAGTCTCTCCATCTAAAGTATTAAACATAGCAACAATGAAATAAGTCACTATCAAATGATTCGGCAGAGGTGGCATTCTCTCTCTGAAACAAAAGGTTTGTCATAGCCAGTAATGCTGGTATATTTAAGGGTGTTGGTGCATTTTGATCAGGCAAGCGCCATCTTTGAAACTTGGAGGGGCTTGGAAAGAGAGGAAAGAGCCTCCAGGGGAATGAACAGTGAGGCTGACTTAAGAGTCTCCGCCTACTTTTCCTTACTGAACATGGAAGTGAATATCCTTTATTGCAAGCTAACACCAACAATTCCTGTGCCTTCAGAAAATGAATGCATGGCAGGTTAAGTACTGTACATCATAAGCATGCAATGCATACATAGAGGTACAGCTACATAAACATAGCACTCTGCACATATCTGTCTTCGATACTTTTAAAATAAACTTGAAGATAACAGTTTTTCTAAGCTGAGCAAGTCCTTGTACTGCTGAAAATGTTCCAAGCCTGCCTTTCTACTTTTGAATTTCTCATCACGCTGTAGTACAACTAAGTAATGAAAAGTGGACACAAGGCTACAAGTTTGTCATATTGAAGATTGTTCACATCCCTCTATATGTAATTTAACACAGGCTAGGTTAGATTGTTCACATTTTCACGACTTAGTGGTATGTGCACAATAATAATGAGAGCGGTGTTTCTTCAGATAGCCTTACCGATTAAAAAACGTGACAAAAGTAAACTGACTCGGTGTTGATTTAGAAAGAAAGCATAATATAAGACACAGTTTTTGCAATGATGGTATTTGTTAAGCTGTAGTGCGAGCTGATACTCGGCCAGGCACAAGCTCTTCAAAAAATGAAGGGAGGGAGACTCCAGAAGTGGAATTAGAAATCTCCCAGATGTGGGATTCTCTACCACATAGTCTCTGGAGAGTTTTGAAGCTAGGTCATGACTGAGTTCAAATGCTCTATCATGATCTAACTCCACAAGTGTCCCCTGACCAAGTGTTAGGGCATCTGATTGGTATGCAGACGGTCTCGGATCTTGGTAGTTTTGTCACTGAAAGAAAAACTGACATCGCTAACAGTGTTTACGATATTCAGAATTTTGGTCACATTATTATAAGCAATGACTGAGGTCGTGATCACTCGAGACATAAGAGAAACCTCATTGTCACTTTCAGTTTCATTTTCCTTCGATTTAGATCAGACAATGGATAAAAACAATTTTACACCAAAGTAATATACTCGGTCCATTTTACTATAAATAAGGAATGCCAACTTCTGTAGCCAAAAGAGAACTTTTGAAAAGATGTTCAGTGTGGAATACACCTTAGTAACCTATAAGGTCCTAAAACGTGTTCTGTGAACCAGGAACTCAAGATTGAAATGGTAAGAGATCTTTCCAGCTTAGTTCACAGACGCAATATCACTGTGTATACTTACTTATCGGGTATCCTTTTGTCGATAACTACCTCTGTTGTCATTTTACTAGAAAGATTAACCAGCTTGAACACTAAAAAACCTTCCACACGCGAATAAAATCCCGGAAGCGCAGGCCAAAAGCGAAACATTGAGCAATACAGACCCACGATTCAAAGAACCAGCGGCATCTTGAGTTTCAGTCATGCGGACAAGAGACTAGGCTCCAATCTTCCTTCGAAGTCACGGACAATCTTCTTCGCATGCCACTTTATTGGTTTGGAAAACCTAATTTTCCAGGTCTTTGGAGTTTACACTGAATACAGCAATCAAACAAGAGGGTTATGATGCAACGAGCACCTCAGCCAAGCTGTTTTGACCGAGTAAAGGTGGGCTTCATGATCGGATTTGCTGTTGGAATGAGTTCTGCGGCGTTGTTTGGAACCTATTCTGCTTTCAAGTAAGATATCACGTTTGATCATTTCCAAAGATTGTTTGGTTCGTGTCGAAAAAGTGAACGAGTGTTTGGGAATTTTAGTCGGCTGATGGCTGATTTATACTGGGGATGTGCCACTTTTTGTTTAATGACAGTTTTTAGTTAACATACTGTACCTGGATTTCGGTGTATGACATTATTTTGCAGACTGCAGACCGCAGAATGCAGAAAACAAGTATTCCCATTTCCATTACCGAGAGCTAACCGTAAATAGGTTAACCTGAGTGCTATTCAGGCTAACCTGAGTGATATTCAGGCTAACCAGAATGCTATTTTCGCCCAAATGTAGTCTGCAGTCTGCAAATGTCATACACTGCCGGGGTTTAGGGAGGGTTGGGAGGAAGGAAGGTCAGGGAAGGTGCATGGTGCAGACTAAATGGTTGAGATGGTGTTTAAGTTCTTACTT